TGAGCGTGAATGCTGGGTAGTGCCTGTGCGGTAACTGGGCCTTGCAGTCTGAGGGTTTATGGTTTGGGAATGAGGGACCTACAGCTGCCTTGCATGTCCCAACACACCTCGCTTTGGTCAAAGCCCACCCAGACCCCCTTGGGCTCTGATCTGAATTCCTAACCAAATTCTAGTGCCAAATTCTCCTCTTTATCTCTCTTTCCAGCTCGAAGACCTGGTGCCATAAGTCTGTAAAAGCAGAGCGCTGGAAGCAGAGTGCAGCTGTGGATGGGCCAACTGGCAACTGTGCCGCCGCTACACGCGCACCCCTACCCCGGACGGGGGCCTCAGGATGGGCCGGGCTGCCGTGTTGTGCGGGGGAGGGGCAGGAAAACAGGGGCCTTGCTCTTGGTGGCGAGTGCCCAGAGGTGGCCTCACAAGGTGGCAGGGAGCAGAAGGCAGGATGACCCACTTAGAAACCAGCTCCTTTCAAAGCAGCGTGGTTGTGATTGGGGGCTGCTTTAAGTGGGTCAGCCTGCATATATACATTGGCCTTAAACTCTTCAAAACTTGGCTGTTAAACATCTACATCCTGTTTTCATTAGCTTGTAAGCCCTGGCCATGGGGACCTGCCTAGTCTTCTGAAGCAGTAAGTGTGCCCAGAGGCTAATAAACAGCAGGTGCCTCCAATAAATAGGATGTTAATACTCAATGTAAATGTGGGTGCAAATAAATACGTGAAACTAAAGGTGGAGCAAATTACACAAGTTCTTAGCCATTTTGTACTAGCTGTAGTGTGACCGTATATACGATGTGTGTTTTACACATACAGAATGTGTGTACAGTGAGTAGGGAGAGTGTTTTGTGAACCGTGTATATATGTGTGGCATTTGGTAAGGCGTGTGTGTCTGAGTGTGTCTCTGTGTGTGTGCCTGTGTGTGTCCCTGTGTGTGTCCCTGTGTGTCTCTGTGTGTGTGCCTGTGTGTGTCCCTGTGTGTGTGCCTGTGTGTGCCTGTGTGCGTCCCTGTGTGCATCCGTGTGTGTGTGCCTGTGTGTCCCTGTGTGTGTGCCTGTGTGTGTGCCTTTGTGTGTGCCTGTGTGTGTGTGCATGTGTGTGAAGAGAAGGCTTCATCACCAGATCGGCTGGGGACAAAACTACATAATTTGCAGGGCCCAGTGCAAAATGAAAGTGTGGAGCCCTTTGTTCAGAATTATCAGGAATTTCAAGACAGCAACAGCAGAACATCAAACCAAGGCTGGGCCTTTCTGAGTGCAGGGCAAGTTGCACTCCCGTGAAGCTGGCCACAGTTGGAAAAAGGGCACCTCCTTGTCTCCCTTCAACCTTCCCGCGCTGAATTGAAAGGTCTCCGACCCCCTTTGCTCTCTCTCCACTGGCCCCCCAGGGTGGCCAAGGTGGCCTGGGGAGGAGCTGCCACCACCTGTACATGGCTGGGGTTTGTCTCACCCCCTCCCAACCACCTTCTCTTCCAGTCTGGGCCTTTCTGGGGGCTCCACGATCCCTAAGGTGTCTCTTGCCCTGGGTTCCCTACTCAAAAAAAAAAAAATCTCCTCAGAAGGGCAGGTCTGCTTCCGGCCCCCCACTCCCACCCTGCATTGTGGGGCCCTGCCCTCCAGCCTCAGGACTTCGAAGGCTCAGGCTCCTCTCCTGGGCCTGCTGTGTTCCCCAGAAGTCGTCAGGCACCAGGAAGTCCGAAGAGTATGGAGTGTCCCCACTGCCCACCAGTGGCTTCAATTCTCAGGTGGCCCGATGGGCCCTGCCCTGGGCTGGTGCCAATTTTCCCAACTCTCCTGCGGGAGAAGCAACGGCAAAGGGAAACCAGGCAGCGGAAGCAGAATTGGGCTGGCAGAGCTTGCAGCCCAGAAATCTCAGTGAGGGGGTGTGGAGGGTGGGGATCCCTCAGTCCTTCCTGTTTATTGTCCTGCTTTGCTCCTCCAGGGCTGAGCACGGTGAACCTGCACACTCACAAGAGCCTAATGGGCAATAAATAATGAGGGTGTTCCACCTCAATACCTATACTCGTCAATAATTAGCTGCAATTTCCTAGGTTCTGGGAGGAGGCAGTGGCACCTGGCCTGCCCCAGCTGGCTTAGCTCATCCTTGCACCTTTAGCACAGTCATTGTAAGGTCCCTGAGTGCTTCCGGGGTATTCCAAGTATGGGCATCTTGCAAGGGTTAAGGGGACCTGAGAACTTACCTTCACCCATGTTCCTGCTCCTCACCAGACATGGGCCCCTAAACTCAGCCAGAGGCTGACCCCAACCCTTTCCAGCCCTTGTGGTAACCGTGAAACCCCGGTGTGCTTCTGTCGTGGAGGTCCCACAGCTGGAGGGCTGCTGTGTGGAGCCCATCTGCCTTAGGCCACAGTCACTCAGAAGTATAAAGATGGGGGTTGGGGGGCCAGGGTGGGCTTGGGCTCCGTGGTTTGAGAGGTGATTTGAGTCCAGGTGGTTGAAGAGGGGTGGTGTTTCTGGAAACTTGTTAATCGCTGGCTGTGGGGCTTTGCATGCTCCAGAGAAACAAAGAGAGAGAGAGACAGAGAGAGAGAGAGAGAGAGAGAGGGAGATGGAGCAAGGCCCCCATGCAAGGCTGCCATGATGGTAAACTGGCTCTTTCCAGAGGGGGAAAAAAAGTCCTGATTTAGCACTTGCCAATTTCAGTGGTGTAAATACCCCTACCAAGTCCAATTTCTAGTACCAATTGACTTAACCACTGGTTCACAAAATTCCTGAATATTTAACACTCTGCTCTTGCTTCACTGCCCACTGAGGCCACTGCCCTCAGGAGAGGCCACTGACAGCACCAGCCCCCAGCACCTTGGCTTCCCTGAGTCCAGTGCTCTACTTCTCTGTCTTTGCTAAGTGCCCATATGCAGCCACGGCAGAGCCATTTTAAGCTCCTTGTACTTCAGGGTCCTGGTCCCGGTCTGTCTCACAGGTTGTCACGATGCTCCCAGAGGTGATAGACGTGGTGAAAAGACTTTGCCAAAGTGATCATTAAACCCAATCAAATGAAGTCCCAAGGGACCACCTATTTCTAATCTAGGAGTAGGGGGGAGACGTGACTTCAACATCTACCACTATGGTTTGAAAAGCCAGTTTGGGGCATCTGTCAGTCCTACTGTGTCAGCTGACGAGCCACTCTTCCTCTCCCCGCTTGGTCTCATGCTAGCCTCCTCACTCATTCCCACTGCCAGGGGACCACGTGTGTGAGTATGGAAACCACTGCATCAGCTCCTTGGGCCACAGAACACCCATTCCAGGAGCTGGGAGTCTATCCACAAAAGTCCACCTGCAAAAGGGGCTTCCTGGTCTTGTGTGTGGCTGGGCCGTCTCTCTGGATGTGGGTTTTTCATTGTGCAATCTTCTCAGAGGGCCACCTGCTCTCGACACCTTCCCGGTGACTCCATTTCCCCCTCCTCTGGGCTCCTGGAATGCCACAAGGGCCCCACCTCAGCCAGGCAGCTGTGATGGGAGGTGTTGACCCAACTGCTTCTCTGCTGGCTCACTGTGTCAGGTGGAAGGGGCTGGAGACAGTGGTGGGGACTGGGTCTTGCAGAGTGGTTGGGGACCCTGGGGCCATCCAGAGGCAGGGCTGGGGCCAGGGTACCTCTGGGATTCAGCCAGGCCCTGGGTGATCAATGGCAAGGGGAGCCAGAGAGGGACGGGCTCTAGGCCAGCAAAAACATTCCCAGAGCCACAGGTGTGCCGCTGAGTCTTCGTCCTCTCCCGTCCTTAATCATTCCTGTTGGTGACAGTGCACGGCCAGGCCTGGAGCCCGGCCGAGAGCAGTCCCAGGGTCCCAGAGCAAGTTTCTATGGGGGCTGGAGATAATCACAAATACCGGGTTCGTGAGCCCCAGACTCCGCTTCGTAGCAGGAGACAGACTTGTGAACACCCAGCAGAGCACATTGCAATGCGCCTCCAACCAGAAGCGGGTGCATGTGCTAGGGACGAGTTAGCAGGCTCCATGGAGGAGGTGACGTTCGAACGGGGTCATAAAAGTGGATCCCTCCAGCAGCCCCTGCACAGGCCCAGCTCAAGCCTCCAGCCCTGGGACTCACAGATCTCTGCAGGCAGCTGCGGGACCACCTGCGGCAGCGGAGGGTCACACAGACGGTCTCCGCCAGCCAGAACCTTCCAGGCCCTCAGCACTGGCATCATGAACGTGGCGGATGTTTCTCCTTTCAGGACAAAAAGGGAGTGAAATCCCCCCTTTCCTTTTTCCATAAATGACCAAGTTGGTGGGGGGTGGGGGTGGGCAGGTCGGCGGGGTCAGGAGAGGAGGGCTGCTGTCCTGGAGAGGGGCTTCTGGAAGCGTTCTTGGAAAGCCAGAGGAGCAGGCAGGGCGGAGACAGCAGTGTGGAGTTGAGCAGGAGCTGCCCACAGTTGGAGCCGGGTCCTGGGTTCTGGGGTCCACTCCCGGAAGTTCAAGATCTGTGCCAGCCCACTTCTGGGCCTTAATGAGAGCCCACTGCCCAAGGCCAAGCCCCGAAAAGGGGTGATCGATGAGGGAAAATTACCGCAGCAATTGAGTTTGTGCAAAATGATCATGCACATGTGTCTGTGAGCATGCGTCTTCTCTCTCATTTAAATAGCCATTTCTGTGCATTCTCAATTCTGGGATCCTCCTCTGTCACCCTCTCTAGGAAACCTTATAGGACCCCATACTTGATGTAGAATATATGAGAGACATTTGCCGAGTGCCTGGCACATAGTAGGAGCTCAACAAATGTCAGCTCCTTTCCTTTGACCACTCAAAGTGGCCACTTAGGGGTACGGCCAACAGGGGCTTCCTGGGCCTAAAAGCTGCTGGGCCTCTGGTCTCTGCCTCCCCCTTCCTTCTCCATCTGATGACAAACATCTGAATGTCATCACATGCTTGGTGTCCTCATATGCTATTCTGGGACACAGGCTGGGGAGGGTACCCGGACAGGCCCCCTCTGACAGAGGCTGGTCTTTGCTGGGACGTGGGCTGGCCTGTGTCAGTCCGTGGATGGATGCAAGGGCGGGGCACCCATCCTGCTCGTCAGGCCAGATGCTGGCAGGAGGGCGGGGTGAGAAGGGGCGGAGCTTCTAGAACAAAGAAGAATGGGGAGCCCTGGGGGCCCGGACTAGGCATCAAAAAGGCTCTGCAGAGCCAGCAGGTCACAGCAGCACCTGCCTCTGGCCCCAGCAGTCAGTCAGACACCTGTGGCCGGTTCCCCGCTGCTTGCCCAAGGCCGGGCAAGTAAGGAACATCCTGCTTCGAGACAGCTTGTTCTCCAGCGTGATTGCGCCGACACTGCTCTGGGGTCTTTTCTACTTGGCGTGGGTTGCTGCTGAAGTTCCAGAGGAGAGCAGAGGGATGGCTGGGAGCGGAGCCAGGAGCCAGGAAGGCCGCCGGCAGCATGCCTTCGTCCCGGAGCCTTTCGATGGAGCAAATGTGGCCCCAAGCCTCTGGCTGCACCGCTTTGAGGTCATCAACGACCTCAACCATTGGGACCATGTCACCAAACTAAGGTTCCTGAAAGAGTCCCTCAGGGGAGATGCTCTGGAGGTCTACAGTGGGCTCAGTTCCCAGGACCAGGGAGACTACGGGACTGTGAAGGAGACCCTCCTGAAGGCCTTTGGGGTCCCTGGGGCCACCCCCAGCCACCTGCCCAAAGAGATCGTCTTTGCCAACAGCATGGGTAAGGGCTACTACCTCAAGGGGAAGATTGGCAAAGTGCCCGTGAGGTTCCTGGTGGACTCCGGGGCCCAAGTCTCCGTGGTGCACCCAAGCTTGTGGGAGGAGGTCACTGATGGCGATCTGGACACCCTGAGGCCCTTTGAGAATGTGGTGAAGGTGGCCAATGGCGCTGAAATGAAGATCCTGGGCGTCTGGGATACATCAGTGTCCCTGGGCAAGCTGAAGCTGAAGGCGCAGTTCCTAGTGGCCAATGCCAGTGCTGAGGAGGCCATCATTGGCACGGACGTGCTCCAGGACCACAACGCTGTCCTGGACTTCGAGCACCGCACATGCACCCTGAAAGGGAAGAAGTTCCGCCTTCTGCCAGTGGGAGGGTCCCTGGAAGATGAGTTTGACCTGGAGCTCATAGAGGAGGAGCCCTCCTCAGAGGAGGGGCGGGAGCAGCTCTCCCACTGAGAAGCCCGCTTTTCTTCACCCCCTAATATTGGTGGAAAGACCCCCCATTGTGGGGGATGCACGCCCCCAGGGGAGTCCCTGGGCATGGCCAACCCTCTAATCAACTCTTGCCCTTCCCTCCCCCTCCCTCTGCAGGAGCCTTCATCTGCCCCTGGGGGGAGGCTTCCACCAGCACAGGTGAGGGAGAGCAGGCTGGCTTGGAGGGACAGGGTCCCCATGGTTGTTGTGCTGCTGTTGATGGCAAAGTCTGGAGGGCTGGAAGAGCTTCCAAGGAGGCTAGAAATGTTTGTCTTTGAGAGGACTGGACCGCTGCAGATCGCCTGTGGTGTGGCTTGGTCACCTTCAGGTCCTCAAAGCCTGTCTCAGCTGGGCTGGGTCCTGGCTGTGGGGTCCTCAGGAGCCAGGGCCAGCTGGCACACGAGGGTCACAGTTGCTCTGGGACACCCCCTTGATGAATCTTCCCACCTGTGCAGTGGTATTCTCTTTCTGTCATTTGCTTTGAAACCCATTGAGCATTGTGTCAATAATTTAATTGCTTCTAAAACCAATAAAGATCGATTCACAGGAAAACCATGTAATGTGTTGATTTAGGATGAATGGAATGTGAGAGGGTGGGGGAAACAGGGAGTCAAGGTCAAAGTCAGGAAGATTGAAGTATTTACTGAGTGCCTAGCCTGGAGAGACAAGAGGATATAACCAGTGACTGCATAGCTGGGATTTTCTAAGACAGCCTCAATTTAAAATATTTTGACTTCATAAATCCTCTCATCATTTCCAATCTAGTCATAATTCTTCTAATTATGTCAATCTATAATATTTTAGCATCCAAATTGCCCCTTATGCCCCAAAGCGACCCTAAAGTTATATGTGAAATGTTTTGATTGGGGATTGAAAATTGTGGTTGTTGTAAACAAACAAGAAAGTATCTGCCAGGCATGTCGGTTCTCACAGCTGCCCTGACGGCCAGGACTTGGAGGCAGGAGGCAAGGCCAGGAGACAAGTGTTGACCTGCACAGGCAGCCAAGGGTGTTCTGGTGGCAGTGGGGGCTCCCGTGGTGGGAGGACAGCTTCTTCCTGCAGGGACTGGGGGTGAAGCCAGAAACTAGCGAGTCCCGATACAGGGGAGGACATTCCCAGATGCAGACATGGGTGTTCGTTTCTTTTAGGGATCCACCTCAGGTTTGCTTCCAAGTTCCTGCCTCTTCCTCTGGAACTGAGCAGGGCTGGGACTCTGAAAACCCCCAACCCAAAGGGAGAAACTGAGTGGACAGAAATCTCCACAGAGGAGCAGATGTGCTCCAGATCTCAGGCGGCCCCACCACGCACATCAGGGGAACAGTTCTCGGGGGAGGATGGCCACGCCCTTCAAGCTGACCTTGGGCCCAGGAAGATTGGCACAAGGCCAGAGACAGGGATATGCAGGGACCCGGGACCTGCAGGGAGATGGGGCTGGGGGCACAGAGCTTTGAGAGTCTCTTCCTGGGAGGCATGAAGGGCCATTTTCCCTTCCCCAGGGTGGAATGAACCTCTCCTGGAAGTTTCCATCTTAACAACTCCCGAGGAGAGACAAACAGCCTGAGCGGGAGCAGAAGGCAGGGGTGAGACCTCTGGACTTCTTGGAGCTGATCTGAGCCAAGAACGGCTGCCCCTCCCCAGGCCCTTCTTCCCCTGATTCCAGCTGTGATTCTCCTGGGAAGGGAGGCAGGCTCAGCCCCTAATCCCCAGGGTTTGCTGAAGCTCCCTCCCTGGGTAGCCCAGCGTCTGAACTGGAATTAGCTTGGCAGCCACAGGGCATGTGAAGGAAAGGGCAGGTGTGGGACCAAGAGGAAGAGGGGATGGGAGAACTGGAGAAGGGGGTGGTCCCCTGGTGCCTCCCAGGTCGCCCATCCCCTTCTCAAATTTGTTTTCAAACCCCCCTCTCTGCTGGCCTAACAAATGCTGCTACTCTCCTAGGCCAAGCCCTCTTCTGAGGGAACAACCCAGGTGGCACCTCCCCATGACCTATTTTCCTCTAGGTCCTTCAGATCCCAGCCACGTGCTGGGTGGAAGGAGGGAGGGTGAAGAGTGGGTAAGTGGGTGGGTGGGGAGGTGGGGAGGAGACTGAGGAATTGGGTGGCCAGGCCAGAATTCCAGGGCGACACCGGAGCCATCCCCTCCCTGCCCATCCCCACACACAGCAGGGAGCTGAGCCCTGTCCCCAGCAATTGCAAGTGGGATGCCTGTGTCCCAGCAGCAGACAGCCTCCTCCTGCGCTCTAAGTGAGGGGAGCCCGTCTGAGCCCCGGCTGCCCGCCAGCTACCTCTCCTAGAGGGTGCGAGCACCCCAAGTGGGCCCAGCAAGAGTGGAGGGATCTGTGACATCCATCGCCCAGGCCCTGGGAAGGAGGGGACCACGTGGTGCTGCTTACCTGGAAAGCCAAGTGAGACTGAGACAGGAAGGAGCTGGTGGGTGTGAGAGTGATGATCACAAACGCAGGTGCGTGACGGTGGCACCGGGGCTGCTCTCCTGGCAGCCGGGTACAAACGGGGAGCCCGGGAGAGAAGCCAAGAAAAGTGGGTTGTGGCCACATCACAGAGGGCTTGCTGCCTGGGTGAGGAGTCTGCACTTGACTTACGCGGCAGGCGTTTGAACCGTGGAGGAGCAAGAAGATTCATCTGGCTTCTGGGTATAGGATGCAATGAAGCAGCAGCAGAAACTCCAGCTGGGGACACTAAGGCAGTATTTACACTTTCGGTCTGAGTTTGAGATGATGGAAAGGTGGCCACAGGGATCAAAGTGAAGGTCTCATCCTGGAGCACATTAGAATCTCCTGGGAAGACAGTGGACGGCAGCCCCTCTGGTGGTCCTAATGTGCGGCAAGCTTGGGAACCTCCAGTCTAAATTCCAGTGGATTCTACTCCTTGCTTGGCAGAAATGTAGAATCTCAATTCCCACCCTGACCGGCACTAGAAATTGCATTACACAAGATCCCCAGGCGATTCTTGGGCACATGAAAGTTTGAGAAGCCCCGGTCCAGAACATTCTATTACAATGCCTCTACTCTAGTTAAGGGGCAACTCAGAGCCCCTGCAAGATGCCCCCTTCTCTAATAACGACCACCACATGCCCAATGCCTACTCATTCCCCGGACTATGCTGGATAATTCCCCACGCTTTGATCCAACAAACCTTTATTTTAACTTACACCTGAATTTCAGACTTGCAGAAAAGTTGCAAGAGTAGTACACAGATTTCCCTGTGTTTCACCCAGTTTCCCCAAATACTAACATTTTACCATTTAATGTTATCACTTCTCTCATTCCCATTCTCTCTTCCTCTGTATCTATTTGTATATGAACCTTTGAAAATTGCAAATGTGATGCACTCTTATCTCTAAATACCTCAAAGTGTAGTTTCCAGCAGGGCACGGTGGCAGACGCCTGTAATGCCAGCACTTTGGGAGGCTGAGGCGGGAGGATTGCATGAGGCCAGGATATTCTCTTATATTACTGTAACTATGATACAGTTATCAAAAGCAGGAAGTTAACATTGATATACTACTACTATTATCTAGTCTGCAGACTTTATTCCAATTTTTTCCAATTATCCCAATAATAACCTTTATAGCCTTCAAAAATTATTTTCTAGTCCAGGATCAAAACTCTAGCTACACATTGCATGTAGTTGTCATGTCTCTTTAGCTTCCTTTAGCCTGAAGAATTTCCTCAGTCTGTCTTTGTTTATATGACCTTGACATTTTGGAAAAGACTTGGCCAGTTATTCTACAAAGCTTGGGGTGACTCTGATGTTTCCTCATGATCAGACTCTGGCTATGCATTTTGGGCAGGAGTACCCAGAAGTGGTGGGTGTCCTCAGCACATCACACCACGAGGCACAGGATGCTGACTTGTCTCTTGACTGGTGATGTTCATTTTAATCACTTGGTCAAACTGCCGTCTGCCAGGTTTCTCCACTGCAAAGTAACTATTTTCACCCTGTCATGAGTCTTGTGGAGAGACACTCTGAGACCATATAAATATCCTCATCAGCTTCTCATCGGACTGTCACTCGCTAAACTTAGCATCCATTGATGATCTTTGCCTCAATTGATTATTACTGTGATGGTTACCAAATGGGGATTTTCTAATTCTAGCCTTCCACCCTTACTAGCTGGCACTCAACTCTAAAGAAAAGCTTTCCCTATTTATTTATTGGTGGGTTTACATCATTGTGGACTCAGAGATTTTTATTTTATTCAATGAATTATACTCAGTTACTGCCATTTATTTTGATGCTGAAATTGTTTTAGATTTGGCCATGGGGGCTGCTTCAAACTAGCTCCTGTCTTCTTGGGACATGTCCCCATCATAATCGGAGCCCTTCTTTTTTTTTTTTTTTTTTGAGACAGAGTCTGGCTCTGTTGCCTGGGCTAGAGTGCCGTGGCGTCAGCCTAGCTCACAGCAGCCTCAAACTCCTGGGCTCAAGCCATCCTCCTGCCTCAGCCTCCTGAGTAGCTGGGACTACAGGCATGCGCCACCATGCCCGGCTAATCTTTTCTATATATGTATTTTTAGTTGTCCAGATAATTTCTTTCTATTTTTAGTAGAGACGGGGGTCTCACTCTTGCTCAGGCTGATCTCGAACTCCTGACCTTGAGCGATCCACCCGCCCCGGCCTCCCAGAGAGCTAGGATTACAGGCATGAACCACCGCACCCGCCCAGAGCCCTTCTTTATTTTCTGGCAGAACAAGATGTTCCAGCAGGCTCATCTTGTCATTTCTCTGCACCAGCCATGGGACCAGCCATGGGACCAGCCATTTCTTCCGGGAGCCCTGGTTCCTTTCGGTGGCATCTGATATTCAGAAACCATCATCTGGGTGTCAGGTGTGCTCCTTGTTATGAGGATGTCATTACTCTTAGGACCTCTCAGTGGTCAGAGCTAAGAAAAAAACCGTAGTGCCTCTCTCTCTATTTCTATATCTCTCTTTCTCTATGTATCAAAAGTGTGAGCTCTTAACTGATAGCTCCAATTCCAGCCCAACCCTAGAGGGCTTATTCTAACCTTCCCCTTTCCAGATTTGCAACTTCTTTTCTCTAATAATGAGAAACCTGGCTCCAGGTTTCTCATTACTTCTTTGCTCAATTCTGGAATACCCAGAAAGTAGTTTCAGAATTGCTAACCCATGCACCTATGAAAAACAAACCTAGAAGCAACCAGTTATTCATATCACCTGATCAGTGCCAGGTGTAGGTGGTCCTTGGCAGCAAACGAGCAAGGTAAATGATGAAATAGAATGCAGTCATCTGAAGGAGAGCAAAGGCCTCCCAGGTGTGCAGTGCTTGCCTTGAGCGCCGGTCTGGAGGTGTGACATTATCTGAGGACAGGAGGTGTCCATCAGGA